TGCATTAAGGCTGGAAAACCTTCCCGTCGGTCCTGGCATAGCGCTGCCCGTGTCCGGGGTAGATCTTGTACTCACCGAAGCTGCACAGCTCGACCTTCATGGCTGTGGCCACCGGAGAGCAGGAGATTTGGTCCAAAATTTTTTTCCAACGTGTTAACTTCTCACCCAGAGAGAAGAGGCAGCAAACAGGTCGCACACTTCTTTGGTTTCCAGCTTCTTTCGCTTGGTCTGTAATTCTGGAAATCCACCTATTGGTTTATACAAGGTGAAAGGTACAGCAATTCACTTAGAATATCTTAGGTGATGCAGAGGGGAATCTTACAGGATTTCGGGAAGAGCTGCCATTGGATCTTACATTTGTTGAACACAAACACTGGTGCAGCTGTAGGAAATGAGCTGTCTCATTGTCCCCTGGACAGCAGGACTTCATCGATCCCCATCTTTGTGACAGTGACTCATTGTACTGTCTCTACCTCTACTCCTTTGTTACCAATGACTTCATCCTCCACTTGATATGTCTTTTCTCTGCCGAACGTCTTCAGTTTACTCATAACTTGCCCCTCTTAGGGCTTCTCAGGGCTTCTTCCTAGTTCCTTACTCCCACCAGGTGATTGACTTTTCTTTCCATTTCCAGTTCATATTCTTGAAAGAGAATGGAGGTATGTAGTCCCCATCATCCCTGTTTAGTTGGTGTTCACATCAGGTCACCTTGTAGGCCTGGTTACCTGTTCTATGAAGGGCATTATATGGCATAGACCATATAGGCTGCTGCCTCAGCTAGGGGATCTGGCTGGAGTGTCTCTCCAAGAAGGGAAATCTGGCACAGCAAGACAGAATGCCCTCTTAGTCACATTCTTTTATCTTGATTTTTAAAAAAGTATACTGACCATTAAAGTAATATATTTTTCATGTTTTGTCAAAATTCTCCTGACTCTTTCACTTAAAATAGTCATGTTACACAGAAACAAAGGATAGATTGGTAGTTGTCAAAGACTAGAGGTTGGGGGAAATAGGAAGGTTACTGTCAAAGGGTACACATTTCTAGTTATAAGATAAACAAGTTCTGTGGATGTAACGTACAGAATGGTGATTATAATGAACAATCTGTATCATATACTTGAAAGTTAAGAGAGTAGATCTTAGATGTTCTCACCACACACACACACATACACAGAAAGAAAGAAGAATGGTGACTATATGAGGTGATGGATGTGGATGTGTTAACTAACCTTATGAGTTATTTCACTATATGCACACACACACATATGTACATATATACACACACATATATAAATAAAATTATCACATTGTACACCCTAAACTTACACAATGCTATATGTCACTTATATCTCAATAAAGCTGGAAAAAAAAAGTCATGTTACCTAGCGATTTTCTGGCTGATTTTAATAGAAGTATGTTTGAGCTAAAATTTCCTTAAAGTTCCAGAAATTTAATATCATAGGGAAGATGTTTGTGCTTTATAATGTTCAACAGACATTTTATTCTTTTTTGTTTACTTTTACTTTCTTTTTTTAAACTGACATTTTAATAAACATTTTGGCAAGAGGGTAAATGCATTTCAATATTTAATGTAGCATTGTGCCTATGGCTATCAGAGGCTAGCAACCATGGAAGGTCTGGAATATGCTGACTTTAATAAAGTAGGTTAAAAGCATTTCTCTTTTAAAACAGAATGTTCTCAGGCATCTTTCTGGTGGTTTGTTGCTAAAATATTAATAGTTGTATGTAACAGTTAACTGCAGACTGTTATTGTTGAAAATTATTTTTATATGCACAAATTGTGATAAAAAGAAGAGTGGATTACAAATGTAAATTCGTGTTAGGTTTTTACTCTAGACAAAAGACAACTTAAAATGCCTTCTGTATCATCTTACCACTGCAAAACAGGAAGTGAAGTCAGGCAGTGAACTGCTTCCTGTCTTCTTGCAGAAAGGAAACACATATGTAAATATACTAGGCAGCCTTCAGTTCTCCCTCTACTCAATCCATCCTATGCATGGTCCCGAGTTGGCATTAGTAATGTTATGCTGCCATTTCTATGTTCTCAACCCTGGGTATAGGTTAAAATCAACTGGGAAGCTTTTAAAATAAACCCTACATCCAAGCTCCACAGCCCAATTTCCTGATTTATTTGGTGTGTCTTGGTTTGGGCATTTATATTTTTAGAAGGCACCCTAAGTAATTCGAAGAAGCAGGCAGGAAGCCACTAGGCAAAAGGACAGAATCTGAACATTTGAATTTGCATTGCAGGCACTCTATTTTCTATCTCCAATCTAGCTTGCCAGGCTCTGGCCAGCCCAACTAGCCTTCCAAGCCCTCTGTCCATTGCTTGTGCTTCTCCTTTTTGTTCCGTTTCCAGGCATTCCAAGAGGTTCTTCTTCACACATGATTCCTGCCAAATTTTTCCCCCCCCCCCCCCCCCCCCCCCCCCCCCCCAATTCAAATTCCTGTTCATTTCTCAAGACTCAGATCAGTATTACCTTCTTGTGAAGCTTTCCCTGACAGCTGGACTTGCTCCCTCTTCTGAACTCACACAGCGGTTATCGCCTAGGAAATCCTCTGAATAATTAATCAGTCATGTTCTGCTTTGTGTCATCTCTTTCATTGTTGTGCCGAATGATTAATCTTCGCTTAACTTTTCACCTGCTATCCAGCTATGTCTACTGTAAGCTTCTAGCATTCCTTTGCATTCTGGTCAAGCTGAATGCCTTGTACTGTGCACAAAGTCAATAAACATTTGCCTCTCCCTCCTATCCTTACTTCCGCAGGTGTGGTTCAGGCCTTCATCTCTCCTGGAGTTTTGCCCTAGTCCTAATGGGCCTTCCTGACACTGGAGACTCTGGCTCTTTAAATCAGGCCAACACATGGTGGCTCACATGGATAATGGCCAGTAAAACCGATTGTGTGTGTGTGTGTGTGTGTGTGTGTGTGTGTGTGTGTTTGTACTCCTCTGTTCACTCTTGCTCTCTCCCTGTTTCATGAGCTAACTGACAGTTTGGATTTCTTTTTCTTTTTGGCCCCTCACTCTCCTACTCCCGGTTCTGCCATGACTTGAGAGCAGAATTCAATTTCTCTGGTTTTGATTACTTGTGTTTTTTAAGATGTCAGGGTATAACATACTCACTAGATCTTCCTGTCCCTATCCTTTGGGTAAACACTTGCCCTGGCTAGACTGTGGCCCAGCTGATCTAAATTATCACCCCAATCTTCCACCAATACTCTGGCCTGATCTGTCAAGATTCCCCTTAAAGAGAACAGATACCCTGTAAACTGGCTTTAGGCTTTTCATCCTTTAAAGGAAACCTGATTGTGTTGTCCACATGATTAAAAGATTCTGTTGGTCCCTCATTGCCATTGTAGAATGAAGTCTAAATCCGAACTTTCCAATATGGGAATTATTAGAATTCAAATAAAAATTGAGCTCTTCAGCTAAACTATATTTCAAGCATTTGATAATCACATGTGGATAACGGCTATCAAATATAGAACATTTCCATCTTTGCAGAAAGCTCTGTTGGACAATGCTCATCTAAATACCTTAGTGTAGCTCATGAGGCCTTTTACTATCATCTCAACCTTTTGCTCTAGCTTAATTTTTGGCTGCGACTCACTTTTCAGCCTACGCATTTTTCAATATTCCCTAACCAACCAGTGCCCTTTCACAACTCCATGCCTCTGAACATTCAGTTTCTCTTCCTGAAATGCCCTTTGACTTTATTCCCTGGTAAACTCCTATCTATCTTTTAAGATCCTATTCAAACATCACCTTCCTTGTGAAGTTCCCTTTCTTAAACACAATAATTTCTTCCGTTGTGTTCTCCTTGCTCTTTGAACCTAGCTCTGTTGCCCTTATCACTGCATTTTGTTATTATTTGCTAACAATCATGGCTATGCTCTTGGGAGATCCTGTCTGATTGTTCTATAGATCCGCCCAAATGATTACCTAAAATTGTTTGCTTAATGCCCTTTTGATATCAAGTAATATGTTTTCTTATTTGTGTGTGGCATATTTGGAAAGCTTACTTGTTGCTTTAGAAGTCTTTCCTCTTTCTAGTAAAAACCTAGAATGACTTCCTGTCTTCCAGGTTGAAGGTCCATTTTTCTTCTAATTAATTCTGATTGGATTTGAGAGGGATGTGGTAGGAGTTGACAAGGTCATAAAAAGAGGGAATGTATGTAGGAGCTGGCTCAGATGTGCTCAGGTGCCAATCGTTACACAAAATAATGTTTGTCTAGAAGAGTAGGCAAGTAGGAAGATGGAGGGGTGGGGGGAGGAGTCCATGGAAAGAAAATTGGGAAATTGTATTTGACTTTTTCCAGGCTAAGTGGGAAAAGTTTTTATTACCACTTTATAAAAACGTACTTTTTTTTGGCTTAGAATTTAGTAAAATTTTGATAAATTCTTGTATCTCCAGTTACTGGGAAGTAAGTCCTTCTGATCAAGAAATTAAAATATCAGTTAGTTTCTCTTCTGTGGTTATGGTTAACGTCACTCCGAAAGGCTTGCTTTCTTCTGAGCGGGCCATAAATCCTAACGGCTCAGCGTCTAGAGACCTTCACGGATCACTCTTTGTCGCAAATCTGACAGTCAATCATCTCCACTTGGGCGCTCCGACCACGCCCACTGCGGAGACCACGCCCACCGAAGTAGCTCTCCCTCCCACCTTACGGCTCCGCCCCAGACCTAGAAGAGGAAGATCCTCATTGGTGGAGAAGTTGTTCTGGTCCCGCCCCTGGCGACGGCCATAGGCCGAACTGGAGTGGGGCGGTGGTGGTTGGTTGCCTGGGGACGGGTCCCTAGTCTTGCCCGTCAGAGTAGCTGGCGGCAGCGGCGGCTCCCGGAGCTGGGTTGTCAGTCAGTGAGCAGAGGGGGAAGATGGTTCGTCGGGACCCGTTTTGCTAGGACGAAGGGGGGCGCAGGTGCTGCTACTGCCCGGGAAAAGGGAGAGCCGACGCCTTCGCTGTCGCTTCGAGCCAGACGAGTGAAGTTCTGGGAGTGGAGGTCTGGGAGCCGCTCTGGTGAGTCCGGTCGAACGACCCACGGCGGGCCCCCAAGGCGGCCGACGACCGATAACTTTTTTGTCAGGGAGGAGCCGGGCGAGGCGGCGGCGGGGAGGGGACGGGGACTTTGTCTCTTGGGCGGCGG